GGACACACGGAGAGACAAACCAGCCTCCATCTCCTGGGACATGGAGTGACAAACCAGCCTCCATCCCCTGGGACACAGGGAGAGACAAACCAGGCTCCATCCCCTGTAAACAGAGACAAACCAGCCTCCATCCCCTGGGACACAGCCTCCATCCCCTGGGACACAGGAAGAGACAAACCAGCCTCCATCCCCTGGGACACAGCCTCCATCCCTGGGACACAGGGAGCCACAAACCAGCCTCCATCCCTGGGACACAGCCTCCATCCCCTGGGACAAAGGGAGCATCATGTAACGACGCCTGTGAGACCCACACAGGAAGGAACAGACTCATCAGAAGCTGCTGCCATAAGACTGGTGGTTTCCATCTCATCTTTGTTATTAACTTTCCTGTGACTCCGGATAGGATCTGTGATGCTGGACCAGGCCACTCTGATTCAGGGGGCCCCCTCCTGGACTGTGAGCTGGACACTGTCCTCACCCACCAGTACCAAACGGGAGTGAATAACCCACAGGAGAAGTGACCCCTGACAGCCATGAGGCTAAACCCCACTGCCCCAGCAGCGTGTGGGGCTCCTCCAGCCAGGGCATAATCCTCAACCACGAGTGACAGTGCCTGGTTTGCCTGAACTACTAAAGCAGCACATTAATAATGAATGGACTTTATTGCAGGTAACAAAGGGAATCACTTCCCAGTGCTCACCACAGCTGGAATCAGCGCGGACAGGACCAGGGTTAATGCCCAGAGGGTTCGCTCTGGTGAGGATGTGTCTCCAGCTGAGCATCACTGCTGCCACTCTGCCTTCAACAGTGACACAGAACCACCGGCACGTGGCTGCTTTCACCTCCCTTTATTTAACCACGCGTTCTTTTGCACTTGAGCCCAAGGGCAGAAACCCCAACATGTTCCATGTTGGCCCAGCCCAGAGGGAACACAGGAAAACACCCAACCCGAAGTCAGTCCTGCTGCACGCTGACAACGCGTACCGAGCTTCGCAAGGCAGTTTAACCCAAAGGAAGGCTCTTTTGGCTCTTCAGACCAGAGGTAGGAGGCACAGGGAGAAGGGGGCAGCAGCAGGTCCCACGGCAGCGCCTGCTGCAGGCTCAGCTCAGCACGGGTGGGTGATGAGGAGGTGGCTGCTGGCCCTGCGGTGGAGGTGCCCCTGGGGGAAGCCAAAGCTCCCAGCACTGGAGGAGTTCACAGGTTCTGTTTCACTCGGAGTCCTGAAAGAGGCTCAGGAGGAGGCAAACGAGATCCAAGTCTTTAAAAAGCCAGCTCTGCCCGTGGGCAGGGTGCAGGTGGTGGAGGACCCCGTCAGTGGGTGCGGAGGACCCAGTCAGTGGGTGCAGATGACACCAGTCAGTGGGTGCAGATGACACCAGTCAGTGGGTGCGGAGGACCCAGCCAGTGGGTGCGGAGGACCCAGCCAGTGGGTGCGGAGGACCCCATCAGTGGGTGCAGATGACACCAGTCAGTGGGTGCAGATGACACCAGTCAGTGGGTGCAGAGGACCCAGTCAGTGGGTGCGGAGGACCCAGTCAGTGGGTGCGGAGGACCCAGTCAGTGGGTGCAGATGACACCAGTCAGTGGGTGCAGATGACACCAGTCAGTGGGTGCGGAGGACCCAGTCAGTGGGTGCAGATGACACCAGTCAGTGGGTGCAGATGACACCAGTCAGTGGGTGCGGAGGACCCAGTCAGTGGGTGCGGAGGACCCAGTCAGTGGGTGCAGATGACACCAGTCAGTGGGTGCGGAGGACCCAGTCAGTGGGTGCGGAGGACCCAGTCAGTGGGTGCAGATGACATGACACCAGTCAGTGGGTGCGGAGGACCCAGTCAGTGGGTGCAGATGACACCAGTCAGTGGGTGCAGATGACACCAGTCAGTGGGTGCGGAGGACCCAGTCAGTGGGTGCGGAGGACCCAGTCAGTGGGTGCAGATGACACCAGTCAGTGGGTGCGGAGGACCCAGTCAGTGGGTGCAGATGACACCAGTCAGTGGGTGCGGAGGACCCAGTCAGTGGGTGCAGATGACACCAGTCAGTGGGTGCAGATGACACCAGTCAGTGGGTGCGGAGGACCCAGTCAGTGGGTGCAGATGACACCAGTCAGTGGGTGCGGAGGACCCAGTCAGTGGGTGCGGAGGACCCAGCCAGTGGGTGCAGATGACACCAGTCAGTGGGTGCGGAGGACCCAGTCAGTGGGTGCAGATGACACCAGTCAGTGGGTGCAGATGACACCAGTCAGTGGGTGCGGAGGACCCAGTCAGTGGGTGCGGAGGACCCAGTCAGTGGGTGCAGATGACACCAGTCAGTGGGTGCGGAGGACCCAGTCAGTGGGTGCAGATGACACCAGTCAGTGGGTGCAGATGACACCAGTCAGTGGGTGCGGAGGACCCAGTCAGTGGGTGCGGAGGACCCAGTCAGTGGGTGCAGATGACACCAGTCAGTGGGTGCAGATGACACCAGTCAGTGGGTGCAGAGGACCCAGTCAGTGGGTGCAGATGACACCAGTCAGTGGGTGCAGATGACACCAGTCAGTGGGTGCGGAGGACCCAGTCAGTGGGTGCAGATGACACCAGTCAGTGGGTGCGGAGGACCCAGTCAGTGGGTGCGGAGGACCCAGTCAGTGGGTGCAGATGACACCAGTCAGTGGGTGCGGAGGACCCAGTCAGTGGGTGCAGATGACACCAGTCAGTGGGTGCAGATGACACCAGTCAGTGGGTGCGGAGGACCCAGTCAGTGGGTGCGGAGGACCCAGTCAGTGGGTGCAGATGACACCAGTCAGTGGGTGCGGAGGACCCAGTCAGTGGGTGCAGATGACACCAGTCAGTGGGTGCAGATGACACCAGTCAGTGGGTGCGGAGGACCCAGTCAGTGGGTGCGGAGGACCCAGTCAGTGGGTGCAGATGACACCAGTCAGTGGGTGCAGATGACACCAGTCAGTGGGTGCAGATGACACCAGTCAGTGGGTGCGGAGGACCCAGTCAGTGGGTGCGGATGACACCAGTCAGTGGGTGCGGAGGACCCAGTCAGTGGGTGCGGAGGACCCAGTCAGTGGGTGCAGATGACACCAGTCAGTGGGTGCAGATGAGATGACACCAGTCAGTGGGTGCAGATGACACCAGTCAGTGGGTGCGGAGGACCCAGTCAGTGGGTGCAGTCAGTGGGTGCAGATGACACCAGTCAGTGGGTGCGGAGGACCCAGTCAGTGGGTGCAGATGACACCAGTCAGTGGGTGCAGATGACACCAGTCAGTGGGTGCAGATGACACCAGGACCCAGTCAGTGGGTGCAGATGACACCAGTCAGTGGGTGCAGATGACACCAGTCAGTGGGTGCAGATCAGTGGGTGCAGACACCAGTCAGTGGGTGCAGATGACACCAGTCAGTGGGTGAGGAGGACCCAGACAGGGGGTGCAGATGACCCCATTCAGTGGGGGCAGAGGACACCAGTCAGTGGGTGCAGATGACACCAGTCAGTGGGTGCGGAGGACCCAGTCAGTGGGTGCAGATGAGTCAGTGGGTGCGGAGGACCCAGTCAGTGGGTGCAGACCCAGTCAGTGGGTGCAGATGACACCAGTCAGTGGCAGATGACACCAGTCAGTGGGTGCAGATGACACAAGTCAGAGTGGTTCAGGAGGACCCAGTCAGTGGGTGCAGATGACACCAGTCAGTGGGTGCGGAGGACCCAGTCAGTGGGTGCGGAGGACCCAGTCAGTGGGTGCAGATGACACCAGTCAGTGGGTGCAGATGCCACCAGTCAGTGGGTGCAGAGGACCCAGTCAGTGGGTGCAGATGACACCAGTCAGTGGGTGCAGATGACACCAGTCAGTGGGTGCGGAGGACCCAGTCAGTGGGTGCAGATGACACCAGTCAGTGGGCAGATGACACCAGTCATTGGGTGCAGAGGACCCAGTCAGTGGGTGCAGATGACACCAGTCAGTGGGTGCAGATGACACCAGTCAGTGGGTGCAGATGACACCAGTCAGTCAGTGGGTGAGGACCCAGTGCAGGACCCAGTCAGTGGGTGACACCAGAGTGACCCAGTCAGTGGGTGCAGATGACACCAGTCAGTGGGTGCAGATGACACCAGTCAGTGGGTGCCGAGGACCCAGTCAGTGGCAGACGAGGACCCAGGAAGGGGGTGCAGATGACACCAGTCACACCAGTCAGTGGGTGCAGATGACACCCAGTCAGTGGGTGCAGATGACACCAGTCAGTGGGTGCAGATGACACCAGTCAGTGGGTGCAGATGACACCAGTCAGTGGGTGCAGGACCCAGTCAGTGGGTGCGGAGGACCCAGTCAGTGGGTGCACCCAGTCAGTGGGTGCGGAGGACCCAGTCAGTGGGTGCAGATGACACCAGTCAGTGGGTGCAGAGGACCCAGTCAGTGGGTGCAGATGACACCAGTCAGTGGGTGCAGATGACACCAGTCAGTGGGTGCGGAGGTCAGTGGGTGCAGATGACACCAGTCAGTGGGTGCAGCGGAGTGACACCAGTCAGTGGGTGCGGAGGACCCAGTCAGTGGGTGCAGATGACACCAGTCAGTGGGTGCGGAGGACCCAGTCAGTGGGTGCAGATGACACCAGTCAGTGGGTGCAGATGACACCAGTCAGTGGGTGCGGAGGACCCAGTCAGTGGGTGCGGAGGACCCAGTCAGTGGGTGCAGATGACACCAGTCAGTGGGTGCGGAGGACCCCAGTCAGTGGGTGCAGATGACACCAGTCAGTGGGTGCAGATGACACCAGTCAGTGGGTGCGGAGGACCCAGTCAGTGGGTGCGGAGGACCCAGTCAGTGGGTGCAGATGACACCAGTCAGTGGGTGCAGATGACACCAGCCAGTGGGTGCAGATGACACCAGTCAGTGGGTGCAGAGGACCCAGTCAGTGGGTGCGGATGACACCAGTCAGTGGGTGCGGAGGACCCAGTCAGTGGGTGCAGATGACACCAGTCAGTGGGTGCAGATGACACCAGTCAGTGGGTGCAGAGGACCCCGTCAGTGGGTGCAGATGACACCAGTCAGTGGGTGGCCGATCCAGTGGCCACACCGAGGTAGCTCTGCTCACACACTGACTTTCTCCATCACGCTGTCTGTGACGTGCACGTCCTCAGCCTGCACTGCAGCTGCCTGCCCGCAGATGTGCTGGTGGTCCTTCCAGTCCTGCACGGGGAGAGATGGGAAAGGGCTGAGCAGAATGGACCCCTGGGAAGGAGGAAGCTGTGCTGGGACCCCCCCTGGGATCCATTGGAGCAGCTCTTTCTCCAGCACTGCAAGGCTCCAGTGCTCAGCCCGACAGGACCAACAATGGGCAGGAAAGGGGCTGTGTGCTGGGTCAGTATTATAGAATCATAGAATAGTTTGGGTTGGAAACGACCTTAAGATCATCCAGTTCCAACCCCCTGCCATGGGCAGGGACACCTCACACTAAACCATGGCAGCCAAGGCCTCGTCCAACCTGGCCTTGAACACTGCCAGGGATGGAGCATTCACAACCTCCCTGGGCAACCCATTCCAGTGCCTCAGCACCCTCACAGGAAAGAATTTCCTCCTTAGATCCAATCTAAACTTCCCCTGTTTCAGTTTGAACCCGTTACCCCTTGTCCTGTCACTCCAGTCCCTAATGAAGAGTCCCTCCCCAGCATCCCTATAGGCCCCCTTCAGACACTGGAAGCTGCTCTGAGGTCTCCCCGCAGCCTTCTCTTCTCCAGGCTGAACAGCCCCAACTTTCTCAGCCTGTCTTCATACAGGAGGTGCTCCAGCCCCTGAGCATCCTCGTGGCCTCCTCTGCACTTGTTCCAACAGTTCCATGTCCTTTTTATGTTGAGGACCCCAGAACTGCACACAATGCTCCAGGTGAGGTCTCACGAGAGCAGAGCAGAGGGGCAGGATCACCTCCTTGGACCTGCTGGTCACGCTGCTTTGGATGCAGCCCAGGACACGGTTGGTTTCTGGGCTCAAGCGCACACTGAAGCCGGCTCATGTTCATTTTCTCATCAACCAGCACCCCCAAGTCCTTCTCCTTGGGCTGCTCTGAATCTCTTCTCTGCCCAACCTGTAGCTGGGCCTGGGATTGCTCCGACCCAGGTGCAGGACCTTGCACTTGGCATGGTTAAACTCCATGAGGTTGGCATCAGCCCAGCTCACAAGCGTGTCGAGGTCCCTCTGGATGGCATTCCTTCCCTCCAGGGTATCAGCCGAACCACACAGCTTGGGGTCATCAGCAAACTTGCTGAGGGCACACTCAACCCCACTGTCCATGGCAGCGATGTAGATGTGCAACAAGACCGGTCCCAAGCCCGATCCCTGAGGGACCCCACTCGTACTGGAGGTGGAACGTTGGCTTCTCAACCTGAACACTCACCTAGGGCATCCCCGTCAGCTCACGGAGAACTCACTAGAACAGAGCCAGAACCGGACTTAAACCCTCTCGGACAGCTCTGGAGCAGCCGGTGCCCTGTGGGACCGCACCACACGCTGGCCTTAGCTCAGCCCCAGCAATGGAGAGGAATGGAACAACTTCCAGAACGGCCTTCAGCTTTTAGGCTGAACCAGGAAAACCCCCTCTGCTTGCTGAGCCCACACCAGGGCTCACAAACCTGCGGGGGGAGCCTCTTGGGACCGGTCACTGAGGAGCACCTCGAACCCTCCCACCCTCCTGCAGCACCGAGCACCAGCAGCGGCTTGGGCAGACGTCCCCTGGGAAGTGAGAAGCTGGTTTTCAGAGCAGGGTTACACCAAAGGTTTTAGACACCACTGAGAAGCTGCATGCAAGCCTGTGCCAGGGCCCGGCAGAGCCCTGGCTGTCCCCAGTGCCACACACTCTGCGAGAGCTCCCCCCCGAGGCTCTCACCTTCCGCTGGCAGTACGTGGAGCAGTAGTTGACTTTGTGGCACCCCGTGCACTCGTTCGTCGCCTCCCGGCCGCAGTTGACACAGGATTGCTGTGAACAGGCAGCAAAGCGACCACGTCAGCAGAGGACAACACCAAAGAGGGTCCCCAAAGCTCTGAGCTCAGCTCAAACGTGAGGTTTTAGAGGTTTGGTTTCAGAGAGGCTCCGAGGCAGGACAATGGGAGCAGGAATGAGGATGGGGCCCTTCGGTTTAATCGTGTTTAGGGAGGAGGAAGGGATCTGCTCCTGTGTGTCCCTGCACCAGGCAGCAGCACTGCCCCATAAACTGTGTCCCACCAGGGAGACAGGAGATGGAGCAGTAAAACTAAGCAAGCTGTAACAGGAGCAGGGACTTGAAGTGAGGCAAGACAAGATACATGGAGAAAAATCCCCAGCCCCTTTCTACAGGCTGTGTTTGTGTCTATGGCTTTCATCTGTATCAGTGACAGCAATTAACATAACCTGGGTGTTGGGTGGAAACATCACTGAGCTACCACAGGAAAGAGCACTTCAGAGAGGACTCTGCTTCCAGCTCATTAAATCCTGACACATCATTAGCACGTTGGAGCCTGGGACAGGCTGTCAAAGCAGCGCCCCTGTCTTTAGTTCCAGCAGCTCCTTCTCTCCTCGGAGCACTCCCAACCTCCCAAGCAGTGCCCTGATCAGCAGCGAGCTCCTCACACCTCACTGAGGTACCTGCCCTTCATGGTGCAGGTACACATGGTGCACATTCACTGCACTGAGCGGTGCTGGTGCTCCCGGCGTGCAGCCGGGATTCGGGCCAGCACAAAGGGCCCGATGGACCACGACAAAGAACAGAAGACCCAGGACACCCTCAGCTCACCTTGATGATGATTTCTGTCTTCCCATCCACATCTTCTGATTGTTGGAATAACTGGTTCTGGTACTGCTGCAAGGGAAAAGCCACCAGATCTGTCCCTGCGGCCAGGGCATGATGTGAAGGCTCCTGGCACTGAGCTTGCTTCTATCGCACCCCAAACTGCAGTTGCAAGAGGACAGAGGGGAACCTCATCCCCCTTCTAAGAGAGGGAGACTGTGACCTTGTGGAGCCAGACCAAGCAGCCTGAGGTGGCAACCTGCCATTCAGTACAGCCCTCACACAACCCCACTCCACCCAGCCAGGCCTCCTTCCTAAAACCAGGGGCTTCACTGCCACAAGGGAACTGCACCAACCACAACCTAAGAAGGTAGCACAGGGAACAGGAGGCAAATGCCAAGGTAGGAGCGCCAGGAGCCATCTTCAGGAGCCAAAGTCTGGGTCAAGGCCAGGGATCCTGAGTCTGGAGGGATGGCACAGCCCAGAGAACAGGTGAGGGGAAGAAAAGCAGACAAAACACCCCCAAGACTTCAGGAGCAGCATCAGCCACAGCCATCATTCCTCCTTCCAAGAGGAGCAGAAAAGGGCTTTCCAACAGGTCTGGAATCAAGCAGTGCCCTGGGGGTGACACCTGGGGTGTGCAGCAGCTTCAAAGCAGCTCCACAGCAGCCCATTGCCCTGCTCTGCTCAGCACGGCCGAGACAAGAGCCCTGAACCAGATGAATCCAAACCCGATCCCCACTGGATTATCCGCTGACCCCGACTTACACTTATTGGGAACAGCTGCAAAGTACCTAAAAAGCCAAACCCCACCTTCAGGCAAAGCAGGCTGAGTGAGTGCGACCCACACATAAGGAGATTAAGGGCTTAGCTGGCAGGTGTCTCTGTGAGCCCGCATCCCAGCAGTTATCCTCCTGTGGGATCACTAAACCACTGCATCACCAGGACACAAGCTCGAAGGAGAACATTCCAGGCAGATGGAGGTGGCGGTGACAGGGAAACCAGAGCTGTGAGCAAGCCATAAGCGTTCCTTTAAGGCAGGGAAGGAATGCACTGGGCAGCCTGAGGTGAACCCATCCTGCCGTGTGCCGGGAAGAGCAAGGCCTTGCTTCCTGGGAGAACCATTCCCATCAGCGAGCCCAGGCTGTGCAGAGCCAGGACTCGAAGCCTCCTCTGCCACCAGCACGCAGCAGAGAGCCAAGGCTGGCGTCAGGTGAGGCTGGAACGAGCCTCCCGCTGCCCAGTGACACAAGTGACCCGTGCGAAGGGCGCTGGAAAACCTCACGGGTCCTGAGCACCCGCTGAGTGAAGAGGTGGAAACGCAGACGCTGCAGCGGCCGAGCGGGCGCTTCAACCCAGCTGGACGCTGCACACAGAGCCCCAGGGCAGGGGCAGTGCCAGGATGGATGTGCTCAGTCCCGTTCTGATCAAGGGCTGCAGCTCCGGAACTGAAACCCTTCCCACCACCGGACTCCACAGGTGTGGCCAGTGCTGATGTCCAGGGACACTGGCAATGGGAAAGCCACTGGGAGGAAGCCTGGCCACCTCTGTCTCTGTTTGAGCTGCACCAGAGCCTCCACCCCTCAGCTCTGAGCCCTGAAACCTGCTGATGGAAACCACACATTGAACCCCCTTCTGCCTCCTTCTTACCTACCCCCATAGGCTACGGCGTGAGCAATTCAGGCCATGCAGAAACTATGGAGACAGAAAAGGTGTGATAGGAGAGAGGCTCAAACCAGACACATCCACATCTCCCACAGAACAGCTCCAGAAAACCAGCAGCCTCCAACTCTCAACCGTTTCCCCTGCTCCTCTGCACACACCAGTGTTCAGTGCTCACCGGAGCTGCACTGCTTACAGGCCAGCCCTTTTGAGGTTAATGTCCTACTCCCTAACCCCGAACTGTTTTAATCTTTCTAAGGCAGAGCCCAGCGGGCCCAGCTGGTGGCTGCTTTAAGCTCCCAGCCTGTTTTCAGAGGGGCTGTGCTCTGAAGGCATCGCTGCACCGCACAGGAGCTGCTTTAAATCAAACACTCGTCACATCCCAGCACCAATTCGTTTAAACTTAGACAGAAAACCCCAGTATCACATTTCCTGAACAGCCTCATCACCTCCCTGCACTGAACCGGGGCAGTCTGTATGCTCTCCCCCTCCTGATCTGATAGGAACAGTGGCTTCATGCACACTCCAACAAATGGACCCACAGACCCCAGTGTAAAGCTCTGCCTCTAACCCACCCCTTGGGGCCAGCTCCTCTCTCCTGCAGGAGACCTGGAGGCTTTCCTGCCCCAGTCGCTCTCTCCCTAAAGGTTTTTCCCTGCATCACTAAGGCCAGCACACCCAACACTTAGAAAGTAAGCAGGGGATCACATACACTCAGTCACACCTACCAGTGGGCAGCAGCAGCAGCCTGACGATGCTCTGATGGAGCAGCTGTATCTCCTGAGCCCACACCAACAGGGCTGACGGTCTGCTTCTCCTTCCGAATGCCATTGCCTCAGACTTGGAAGTAACCTTACTGTAACTCACACCTGGTGTTTGCCCACACAAAGCCGTGCTCAGGCTGAGCAGTGCTGCGCAGGCGCCCGTTTCCGCATGGAAAGCACCAGGCTTGTGGCCACCACCATCATAGGATCATAGAACAGTCAGGGTTGGGAAGGACCTTAAGATTGTCCAGTTCCAACCCCCTGCCATGGGCAGGGACACCTCACACTAAACCATGGCACCCAAGGCTCCGTCCAACCTGGCCTTGAACACTGCCAGGGATGGGGCAGCCACAGCTTCTCTGGGCACCCTGTGCCAGCGCCTCAGCACCCTCCCAGGGAAGAGCTTCTGCCTAAGAGCTCAGCTCAGTCTCCCCTCGGGCAGGTTCAAGCCATTCCCCTTGGCCTGGCCCTACAGGCCCTTGGCTAAAGCCCCTCTCCAGGTTTCCTGCAGCCCCTTCAGGCACTGGAGCTGCTTTAAGGTCTCCCCTTCAGGAGCCTTCTCTTGTCCAGGCTGCCCCAGCCCAGCTCTCTCAGCCTGGCTCCAAAGCAGAGCTGCTCCAGATACATCTTGTAGCTGTCCATATCCCTCTGTCATGCCCACTCCCATCCTTATCTGTGCAGTCAAAGAGAAGACATGACTGCTTCGTTCTGGTCCCACTTGCTAATGACAGCACTGCTCAAAGGAAGCTCAGGATTACATTATTCCCCTTGTTGGTATCATTTTGAAGGTGGAAATGCCAACATCAGAGAGGAGTCGTGGCAGGAAGGGGAGCTGCTCAATGCAGCAAGTGAAAACCATGAAAAATCCTAAGTGCAGCACGAAGATCAAAAGCCCTTGAGCTCTGCATCCTCAAGGGCTGAGATGCTGAACCCCAGAGTGCTCTGCACCACTGTGAAAACTAAAGATACACATTAGTTCTGGCCATGGCAGTGACGTCTGCGCATCCAGCTGGGAAGCAGCCTGCTCCTAACAGATTCCTTTAATCCTGCTATGTATTGTCACTCTTCCAGGAAGAGCTGACTTACAGTAGCAGCCCCATTACAATTTAATCTGTTGGACAGAGCTCCACAGCTCTGATCCATTGGCACCACCTTTCACTGCCTCACACCAGGAACATGCTGCTGGATGGAACCCTGCAAGGTCTCCTGCAAAGGGCAGGGGAGAAGGCTCCCACCATCCATTAACCCTTGGCAGTTCTGTCAGCAGAACAAACACAAAGTGGATGAATCACAGAGCCATGGAAGCAGCCAGGTTGGAAAAGCCCTTTAAGCTCATCCAGTCCAACCATTCCCAGCACTGCCAAGGCCACCACTGCCCCATGGCACTGAGGCCTCATCTCCACAGTGTGTGAGCACCTGCAGAACCGGTGCCTGCAGCCCTGCCCTGGGCAGCCTGTTCCAATGCCTGAGCACCCTCTGGGGCAGGAATTGTTCCTCAGCTCCATCTAAACCTGCCCTGGGGCAGCTTGAGGCCGTTTCCTCTTGTCCCATCCCTTGTTCCTTGGGAGCAGAGCCCGGCCCCTCCGGGCTCCATCCTCCTGGCAGGCAGCTGTAGGCAGCCATCAGGTCCCCCCTGAGCCTTCTCTCCTCCAGGTCCCTCAGCCCTTCCCCATCACACCTTTGTGTGAAACTGGTCTGGCAAAAATCAGTAACAACCAAAGCAGGAGGACAACAGAATCATAGAACAGTTAGGGTTGGAAAGGACCATCAGTTCCAACCCCCTGCCATGGGCAGGGACACCTCACTCTAAACCATGGCACCCAAGGCTCTGTCCAACCTGGCCTTGAACACTGCCAGGGATGGAGCATTCACAACCTCCCTGGGCAACCCATTCCAGTGCCTCACCACCCTCACAGGAAAGAATTTCCTCCTTAGATCCAATCTAAACTTCCCCTGTTTCAGTTTGAACCCATTACCCCTTGTCCTGTCAATGCAGTCCCTAATGAAGAGTCCCTCCCCAGCATCCTCCCTCTCATACACCCTCACTGCCAGAAGAATCACTTTGACCACACACATAGAGTGGGAAAGAGCCTTGAGTTATAAATCAGGGTGAGATTGGAAAAGCACCTCTGACCACCACAGAAGCAGACAGCCAATTCCTTGATATTTATTGCAATCCCTCCCACTGCCAGCCCTGTACCCACAAACCCAGCTCTTCCCAAACACGGAATTCATCAGGAGGACTTCAGCAACAGCTGCTTGTGATACGGCCCAGAGGGTTCCAGAAGCCTGCACACAACCCCAAGCCTGAGAATTGTTATTGGGTATGAAAATAATGCCACCACGAGTGAGTGCTTTTATCAGTACACACAACTGTTGAGGTCCCCCTGACACACACAGGGAAAGGGGCTTCCTCTGGCACCAAGCACGTGCTCACCCCTGCCTGCTGAAGTCAGCACTTTAATCCACACATGGCAGTGATTTTAACTCCCAGTCCTGGGGCCAGAAGGACCTAGATGTCCACTGTAGTGAGCTGGATTTGGATCAGAGGCTGGGGGGTGGACTCTAAACAACTGTTCCAGAACCCACTGCAGGGATAAACAAGGGAAGACACAAAAAAACTGGGCCAAGAGCAGAAGATAAACCAAGTCAGATGTCCATCTCTAAACATGTCCAAGCTTCCAATTTTCCAGCATCCCACACTCTACAGGGCTCTCCAGCAGCAGACAGCCCCTCCTGGAGAGCAGCAGGACACCCGTCCTGCCCAGGCAGGAGGCAGGGAAGGCTCTCAAGGTATCACACACCTGCACATCAAGGACGCAGTGTACAGGAGAGTTTAGTAGAGCCAGCGTGGCAAAGCACATCAAAAGACACTGCAAGGACTGTCCCAGGGGTTCTCAGCCTCCCCACACAGGGCTCTTGCTGCACACCCCTACCTATGAAGTCAGTGGAAAGTGGTGTTAGCAATAACGCTGATGGCAATGGCAGGTAGTGCAGTGGTGCACAGGGAAGGGGTTCACCAGCTACTGACAATGACACCACCTTCCCAGGATGATGTTCCCACTTCCCTCAAGCCCACACCAGCAGCTGTGGACCTGTGGGAGAAGGGGAATATGGAGCCAGATTCCGAGTGCATGAGCTGGTGGTGAGAAGCATGAGGGTCCCTACCATGCATCAACTGAAGAGAAGAAAAGCAGGAGAACAGGGAATTCATTGCAGATAATGCCCTACAGAGGAGAGAAGGGCCACTGGGCACAAGCCAAAGCTCCTGTAATGCCAGCCAGCCTTGCAGTCTTCCCATGGGACTCATGGGACACGACCTCTGCCTGCACAATGCTCAGCATGACACCTCTCAACGTCACTGCTCATCTGCTTCATAAACTCTGCAGCTTGTTCTTGTTATCCCTCTGCCTCTGGGGGCCACCAAAAGCCTCTCTGACAGCCCTGCTCACCGGCCATAAAGCAAGCAGCCACCCCGGCTGAACACTCCCCAGCTTTCCTACACCAGGATGCAGTGCCCACGTGCCCATGAGTTTATGGCGAGCCGATGGAACAGCTCAGGCCTTGTAACCCCCAAGACTTTGTGCAGCCTGCTACTCAGGGCTCCTGGAATCCTAGAGCACCCTGCTCCTTTCCCCACGACACAAATAACTTGCAGATTTCTCCTGATAAGCCACCAGGATGAGTTTCTAAGGGCTGCCACTATGGCCACCCCCAGGGAAAGTCATCGAGGTGCCACCCTCCATCCCGCAGCCCAAACGATGCCCTTGGCCGAGCCACCTCACCCCCTCTGGTGTGGTTACCTCTTTCCTGTCCACGTCAGCTTGGATTTTGGCCTGTGTGACCGCAGCTTCCCGGAAGGAGGAGCTGGCCTGCTTGGCCTGCTCGATCAGGGTCTTCAGCTGCTGGGCCGTGTGCAGCAGGGAATTGACCATCTCCTCCAGGTAGAGCCAGCTCCGCTGCTCCGTCACCTCCAGGCCGTTCACCACGGAGGGGGATATGGCTTTGGTGGGAGTGGTGGGGGGCACTGCCAGGGCAGGGAGCGAGGTTAGCACTGAGGAAAGGAAGAACAAGAGGACACAGGGAATCGGGGCGTTTCATCCTGTAAAGTGGGGGGAGTTGCTGGTTGTGTTTGGCTGCGACTCCCCTGCACCCGCTGAATTCTGACCTTAACCGTAACCCTGAAGCAAGACTGGAGTAAAACCAACGCAGTTTTCCTCACCACAAAATCCCCTGTATTACAAACCTGCACTTTCCAAGCCATCTGCCATGAAGCCCTTTAAAATATCCTCAGTAACTGTCATCTTTGGACCTCTTCATCCGGGATCCTACCCATAAAACAATGGCTGTAAAAATACAGGTACCACACTGAAAGACCTCACGTTTAGTAAAAGGTACTCACAGTTGTATGTGCCTGTTTCAGATACCTTGGGTACCTGACCACTAATGCTCACTGCAGCTCTGAGACCTCTCCTTGCCCAGTCCCAAAGGTGAGAGTGAACAAGCACAGCCCAGGTGGAAGTTTTACCTTCAGACACTAACATCTCCTGACATGGGATTTACACTGCCTGTGTGGGGCAATCTGCAAGAAGGAAATGTCCTGCCGACAGCCTTTTCCTCCAGAATGCTAACTACAACCCTTCACTCTTGTATGAGGTAGAGTGCTACAGGTAGGAAATGAAATCCATAGATTCATAGAATAGTTAGGGTTGGAAAGGAGCTTAAGATCATCCAGTTCCAACCCCCTGCCATGGGCAGGGACACCTCACACTAAACCATGGCACCCAAGGCTCTGTCCAACCTGGCCTTGAACACTGCCAGGGATGGAGCATTCACAACCTCCCTGGGCAACCCATTCCAGTGCCTCACCACCCTCACAGGAAAGAATTTCCTCCTTAGATCCAATCTAAACTTCCCCTGTTTCAGTTTGAACCCGTTACCCCTTGTCCTGTCACTCCAGTCCCTAATGAAGAGTCCCTCCCCAGCATCCCTATAGGCCCCCTTCAGACACTGGAAGCTGCTCTGAGGTCTCCCCGCAGCCTTCTCTTCTCCAGGCTGAACAGCCCCAACTTTCTCAGCCTGTCTTCATACAGGAGGTGCTCCAGCCCCTGAGCATCCTCGTGGCCTCCTCTGGACTTGTTCCAACAGTTCCATGTCCTTTTTATGTTGAGGACACCAGAACTGCACACCATGCTCCAGGTGAGGTCTCACGAGAGCAGAGCAGAGGGGCAGGATCACCTCCTTGGACCTGCTGGTCACGCTGCTTTGGATGCAGCCCAGGACACGGTTGGTTTCTGGGCTGTGAGCGCACACTGAAGCCGGCTCATGTTCATTTTCTCATCAACCAACACCCCCAAGTCCTTCTCCTTGGGCTGCTCTGAATCTCTTCTCTGCCCAACCTGTAGCTGGGCCTGGGACTGCTCTGACAAAAAGCACAGAAGCAAAATCCAAAAGCACAGGCAGCCAGTGATGCTCCCAAACACACCCCAAGGGACATTAAAAGAGGACCAAAAACCCCACCAACTCCTGAGGTGCTGCAGCTTTTACTTTTTCACACCCTAACCACAACTTCAGCAGTAACTGCTCTTTGTAGGAAGCCACCAGAAGGAAGCTGAACTCCCATCCTGGTAATCAAGTCACACTTCCCTTGAACTTAATCTCCAGTCCCTCAGTTATTTGGGCCCTGGAGTTCTCCCTGTCCCAAAGCCTGTGTTAGAATGTCCTAGAAAACCAACAGTGTCTTAGCCTTAGAGCTGCAAATGCTTCAAAGAACCAACAGTTATTGTGCCCCTGAAACATCTCGTGCTCCTACCACCAGGCCTGCACTGGGAGAGCACGGTATGAGGAAAGGAAATCCAGATCCAGGAACCCAGCAGTACACAGTGTGAGCTCACCTGGGGCAGCACTTCCAGGATCAAATGTTACCCGGCTTTACCGGCCTGACTTTTCCACAACTGAACTCTAACTCTAGCCACCTGCCATGAAAAGAAGTCCAAGGCATTCACATCTACCGGCAGCTGACCTCTGAATTCCTCACTGAGCTGTTTCTTAGAAGGAAGAGGTCTAACTTTGTCAGCAATCTCCCACCACAGTCCCTGGCTGTCACTACAGATACTGGCTTTCCAACCCCACTCCTCTGTCTACGGCAGCTCCAAAGAGAAGGGCAGAAACAAGCCCCAGACCTCTCTCACTGAAGGACAGGGACACAGGACAGCAACTGCAGAGCACAGTTACAAACATACAACAGGAGGCCTCCCTGTCAGGGAAAACCTTCTGGACTACACTTCAAATGGTACTTAAAATCCAACCATAAATACTGTCCTGAGCAGCTAGAGGCAAGCAGACCCTCCTGCACCAGGCTGCAGTGAGGGGAAGCATTTGCAGACCCACAAGACCTCCTGCAGGATGGAATATCTCCCAGGACACTTTAAGTGCATTAAACACTTTAATCCTTTCCATATCACACCTGGTGGTTCTCCATGCAAGCAGCAAAAGCTGAAAAGGATCCAGCACAGCTTCAGAGGAGAGGACAAACCTCAAACCCCAGAGAGTTGCAGGCCACCACGTGTTAGACGTGTGACAGCACTGCAGGGCCAGCACGCAGGTGAAGGGACATCTGATGCTGAAGCCCTTAATTAAAATACTAATTTCAATCAGGTTGCACACGAATGGCACAGAACTATTTGCACTTAGATATGAGGAAGAGATAAGCTGGTCCTTTATCATCAATAGGTGTTTGCAGAAGGGCCTTTCCCACTGCTGCACTTCCAGTACAATATTAATCCCAACATAGCATTTGATAGCTTATCTAACAGGAATTCCTTCCGATCCCGTTTTGGCAGAGGTGTATCAGGCAAGAGAAAGTGTTCACTGGTAGAAAAAAATCGATGTTTAATTAATAACATCAAGATCTGACTAAGACTTAAAACCAACAATGAGATTCCGCTCCGGACAGAGCAGGAATGTGCTGTGCTGCTCCGAGCAAGGAAATAAAAGGTCATGCAGAGGGGAGAACCCAGGCTTTGAACCAGAAAGACTTCAGACTGCACAACAGAATACGACACGTCGATGTGGTCTCTTCTTGATGTCTCGGAGAGCAGTAAGAGGGATCAAACCCAGCCTCTTACACTCCTCTGTGTCAGCGAGATCAGAAGTATCAAAGTAACTTCACAGAATCACAGAAATTAGAGAAGGAAAAGGCCTATAAATCACCTCATCACCAGGCAGTGGCTGAGTGCTCCCTGCTGCATCTGCTGCCCAGGCTTGGTGAAAACTAGAACACCCCAAGCTGGCAATTCCAGTTTCTCCAGCACTGTCTGCTTCAGTACATCAACACTCAGACAGCATCATGGTTCACTGAACTTAGCAGTCAGGTGTACCCATGGGAGGGCACAGCTTAGGGAACGTAATTACATTTGAAGAGGTATTTGATAATCAGTTTAACCCACCCATCAAAAACTGCAGGTGTGATGTGCATTAGTCAACTATTAAGGGATGGAAAAGTGACCCTGGGTGGGAGAACAGCAACCAGAACTGTCCAAAATCACCTCCAGCATCTGCAGTGGATTCACAGAGGTGTTAGAATGGTTGGAAAAGCTGCTGTGACATGATTTTAGAGGGGGTGGTCTCCTCAGGTCAAACCATAAAGACACGCTTAGCTACAGTGCCCAAGTGTGCCAGAAGCTGTGGAGCCAAAGGCTTAGAAAGGGCAGGGGATGGCAAGGATGTGGGAAGCAGGATCCCAACAGCCTCCTCTGGTGGAAACCACATCAAAGGTCTCAGTAGCACAATGAAAAACTTTACAGAGAGCAGAAAATCCGCTTGTCCAAATCTTAATAACCTCATAAGCAAACCAGCAAAGTTTATTCTTCTCCCCTCAATCTTTACCTTTGCTGAGAAAGCAGATTAGAGAGCAAATTCAAGCAGTGCTGTCTCACACGAGGGACATAACACATACCAATTTTGGGATGAGATGTTGGCAACGCAGCTTCAGGAAAAGGTGAGATCTGGCAGTTGTCCTGGTAACTGGGATAGTGAGGCTCCGGGTGACTGACCCTGCACGGCTGCTGGACGTTGGTGTCCTGAACTGTGGAACAACACCACCACAGTGAATCCCTGAGCCACAGCCAACAGGCCCTCCCCATGCTTCTGCCACCCCGTTTTCTTTACAATGTATAAAAGTTCCTACACTCAACGCTAATTCCAAGGGTTGCAAATGAGAAACAGGAGCAAGATCAACCTTGTACTGACTTCATCTCACCCTGCTTCCACTTTTACAGGCAAAGGTTACTGCTGCTTCCCTCCTTCACCCCCAGGTAGTTACAGTAAGCACAGCACTCCAAACCACAGCTCTGGGAGCAGGACAGCTCCCTCAGCAGAGCTCACAGCCCCATCCATGAGTCAGACTGAAAGACCTGAAATATGTCATGTGTTTCTCTTTGGTTTGATTGATTCTGGCATTTGCCAGCATTTACCCAGACTCTTTCACTTGTTTCAAGCACCCAGCTAGGTACCTCTTTTTTATGGTAGTATTTTAGGACAAAGGAGGAGTGAAGGATTACAGAGATGACATAAAGCCCTAGAACTCAGCAGAGGTGAACATTAGCACCTGCGGCATCTGGGCAAACTCCTGACTTCTGTGCAACTGAGACGAGTTCAAGCTGCCCAAATCATTCTGAAGGAAGGCCAGTGGGTTATGAATATTCTCTCTGTAAACTACTGAGAAACAACTTTCTTCATGCAGCATTTAAAATGCTTCTTCCCATAGCAGTGAGCATCTAATCCTTTTTTCATAGAACCATAGAAAGGTTTGGGTTGGAAGGGACCTGAAAGCTCATCCAGCTCCAGCCCCAACCCCTTCCACTGGAGCAGCTTGCTCCAAGCCCCTGTGTCCAACCTGGTCTTGAACACTGCCAGGGATGGGGCAGCCACAGCTTCTCTGGGCACCCTGTGCCAGCGCCTCAGCACCCTCCCAGGGAAGAGCTTCTGCCTCAGGGCTCATCTCAGTCTCCCCTCGGGAGGTTCAAGCCATTCCCCTTGGCCTGTCCCTACATCCCTTGTCCCAAGCCCCTCTCCAGGTTTCCTGCAGCCCCTTTAGGCACTGGAGCTGCTCTCAGGTCTCCCCTTCAGGAGCCTTCTCTTCTCCAGGCTGAACCAGCCCAGCTCTCTCAGCCTGGCTCCAGAGCAGAGCTGCTCCAGCCTGTTTCCTCCCCATCACAGATGTTTAGCAGACGTACCTACACCCAAACTCTTACCAGTGGCTCCAGTGAAAACATCCCCCTGGGATGTGCTCTCTGAGATAATGGCTGTGGCCTCCACTGTTGATGTGCGATCGAAGGTCAGAGCTCCTGAGGTCGTGATCTGTCCAGAGGGAGTCACCGTGACTGGAAACAGCAGAAGCACTTTCATGATTCACAATCAGCACAGGGGCCTCGGTGGTTCAACTGCTCATATCCCTGGCCTGGATCATCCAGAGCCAGAGAACTCACAGAGCAAATGGCCTCTGGGAATCCAGTTGGGATCACACCAGAAAGCAGTTTCTGGTTGATTCGGAGTTATTACAGCTCTAGCAAGACTGGTTCCTACTACTTAAATCAACACAAAAACCTATGGATTATAACTAATTCTACAACAGTTTGGTTAGCTGGGCAATTCTAGTGGTCTCTCTACACAGAGTGATGTCTTATGCTTGGCCAATGCAAGGAGCAAGTCACAAAATCCTTTTGGATGAACATTCCCAAGAGGCTCCAAAAAGTTTAAAGCCCTTTTTAAACAGGAGTAACTGATCTGGCACCATTAATCAGTAAGCGGCTGATTTGGGGCACTGATTCTGTGGCACACTGCTCAGCCAGAGCATTATTATCTGCAAATAATGATTCATTTCAAGGCATTAAGGCTACAGATTCATAAAATATGAGCCGTCATATATGAAATATTAAATATGTGATATTAAATATGTGGCTACTACCAAAACTCCCCTCTCTCAATGTCAGCATGAGCAAATGTGCAACCTCACAGCACCTCACATGAACACACCACCACAGATTTTGGGGTGATTACAACCAAAAAGACCCTATTTGGAGGAATAAAACCAAAAGCAACTCAAGAGAATCCCTGTTCAAGTCCCTCCCCACCATTGCTGGTAACGTATCTTACTGTTGGCTGGGTATTTTGGCATTTCTGCTGCTTCCCCCTCCCCTTACTTTGCAATTTTATCATCCAGATGCCTCTAGTGTGATGAGAGCAGGAGGACACATGGATGAGACTGGGAATGTGTGAGCTGGATGAGCTTGCAAATTAATTTGTGTCCTCACACAGGTGGTTTGATCAAACCCAGTGAGTAACAAAGTGTGTCCTGCACGTCGGAGAGGAATTTGCAGATAAAAGCATCGCCTTCTGCCTCCTTCATTAACGACTTTCAGGCTCTGGATTTCATTCCAGCTGCTTAGAGCCTACTTTTCTAGTTCAAGGAAGAGCGCAAATCTTACTCCACAGCCGCACCCCCCCCAACCTCTCAAAGCCAAACCCCAATCTCAGGGGATGGAACAGGGATTCTTGGCAGAGCAATAGATGTCCAGGCTTCCCTACTCCACTTGCAGTCGAGATGTGGCAACACTGTGCTGGTTTCTGCAGTGAAATCAGCCAGACACTGAGTCAATAAAGCTACCAGAGAAAAGGAAGTGGCAAAACAAAAGGCATTTCTCTCAGCTGGCCAGTTCCAAGGGGGCACTGATAGACATAAAATGTCTAGTGTGGCAATTCCTCATAGAATAGCTCAGGCTGGAAAGGACCTTAAGATCATCCAGTTCCAACCCCCTGCCATGGGCAGAGACCCCTTCCACTGGAGCAGCTTGCTCTAAGCCCCTGTGTCCAACCTGGCCTTGAACACTGCCAGGGATGGGGCAGCCACAGCTTCTCTGGGCACCCTGTGCCAGCGCCTCAGCACCCTCACAGGGAAGAGCTTCTGCCTTATCTCCAACCTGAACTTCCTCTGTTTTAGTTTGAGCCCATCAAAAAGGGGAAACAGTTTTTATCAGGAGAAAAGAACCTACATGTAGTAGCAGCTGTGGCAGGCAGCAGGGTGATGTTTTTGGAGCAATCCTTCTTTGCTGGAGCTGCAGGCATTTCATTCTCTTTTTTCCTCCTTTTATATGGCACAAAGAGTCGAACAGGACCACTCTGGGCAAAACAAACCAAAGGAAGGAAAATGAAAGAGAAAGGAAAAGGAAAAGGCATTAGCTGAGGCAGCTCTTTGGAGACTTTGGCTTCACTTTCATCTTCCCAGATGCAGCTATGCTCACACAGCACGTATCCCCATGGAAGATGTGCAGCCTGCAACAAGTGATCAAAAAACTCATAGATCCCCAAAGCAAAAGAACTTTGTGGGGAAAAAGAAGTCCCACTCAGCTCCCTCCAGCTGGCAAGGCCCAGATTCAGCCTCTTTCCTCTATTATTTAAGGAGTAGAACTGGGCAGATAATCAGCCACTGGTGGAAGACAAGAGACCTGGAGTGAGGAGGAGGCAGGAAGCTGTTGGCTTCAAGCCTAGGAAACAAGCAAATCATCCAGTTCATGGCAGAAAAGAAATGCAAACCACTGCTTCAGGTCCACCTGAAGACTGCAGCTTTCAGGACTTTAACCTCATTTTTGAAACAAAGAAACCAAAAACCAAACCCCAAACAAAAAAAAAACAACAAGTATTTTAATATGAAAATATCATCCCACACAGAGTATTACATTGCATCCTTGTCAAAACACCTTTTCCACCTCAAAGAATTGTGGAACATCACAGATAGTTTTGACAGCCCCGAAGGCTTTTCATATAAATACATTATTATTTAGAAAAGACAAAACAAGAAGAAGAAAAAAGCATTAACTACTATCCAGTTGTAGCAAGGCTGTGGTGCAATGCTGCTACCAACTCCTCATCTCCTTTCTTTGGGAAGCATGGACGCAGCACACCCAAACACAGGACTTGTGAATGCTTTTAGGACATCATGACCTGCTCACAAACGGCTGTGGCAGCTTGAGGGATGAATTGGTTTGAAACTCATGGGTGTAAAGCCTACAGCTCACCAGAGTCATGTCGTCGCAGCAAGCAGCACAAGTACAAGAGGCAGCATGAGGATTTAAAATCCCATCCTGGAATGAGAAAATGCCTCAGTGTTAGAGTCACCAAACCCATAAGCATAGCTGTAACCTGCCAGCAACATGCAGACAGCTCCCAGAGAGACAACCCATTCCCTCCCAGAGGCCCTAATCCATAACCAGCTCCCTCCAGCACACAGGAGCAGAGTGAAGTGAGAACAAGCAATTTTCAAATCACAAGGCACAAATGTGCCAATCTGAGACTGGAGAAAGCTTCTGCCCAAGCACAAATCGACTGCCAACCTAATGGCAACGTTGACTTCCCCGTGAAGCTCCTCCCTGCAGGAAATAAATGACCCAAAGTAATACCCAATAAATGCTGCAAGCAATGAATATGTTTGTCAGGCAAACAGAATTAAGCAGATCAGGTTATTGAATTACAGTATTAGGGGTGAGAGCTCACAACTCAATTTCTGTGCTCCAGCTCAAGGCTGGACTTCACCCTGAGGAGACTGTAATCCCTTTTCAAGTACAGGAGTTGCTCTGTGCTGCTTGAAAACCCACCCAGAAAACTCCCTCTGACATCTCTGATTCCCAACCAAAGCTGCCCCATGGCACCATCACATGTAACTGTAGCAGCACACACAGCTTGGGCTGCTCCACCTGCCCCTCCAGCAGGAGGGAGGAAGCAAACTTACGTGGATAAGGCACTGCAGTGGCCTCCCAGCATAGCGGATGCTCCTCTTCCAATCTTTGCTGCTGGCTCGTCCCGCCATAGCTTCAAACTCAGTAGGGCTGTACCAGTTGTCCCCTTGTTTAATGCACCTACCACGGCCTCCTGAAATAAAGCAGAGGAAAGACATTGTTAGTAAAGGTTAAGAACCATTTTGTCATTTTCCTAAAGAAGGAAATGCTGAACTTGCAGGACTAAACAGCAGCTCATCTCTGGCAATCACCAAATACACCCATCTGCTACTTCTCACCACTCCAGGGTAACCATGCCCATTTATTATCTTGGCTTCAGCAATGACTGTGCATGTTTAGAGAGGTCCATCTTCAGGCCTCACCAACACATCAAAAGGCTAGAAAAAATTCCTCATCCACAGGAAGGATAAGTCTTTCCTGCAAAAACACCACGAACTGAAGCTCTTCCTTAATTTGCACTTCAATTTCTAATCCTTCTGGTGGGGAAGATAACTCTGTCCATGAAGGAAGCGCTGTGCTGTGCTGTCAGGCTTGCTGACAGATTCTGCTGCTGTTGCTTCAGCTTTCCCACAGAGAGAAAAGAGAAGAGGAGGGGCTAAGGCAGCTAAGGAGTCCCACTAGGAGACAAGCTCTCTATTTTCCCTTCCAGCAGTCATTCTTTAGAGAAACATGGGTCTACTGAGGCAAAAAAGAACATGAGAGGAGTCAAGCTATCGCTGGGGAGACTCACTGCACAGCAGCTGGGATCTTCACAGATTAAAGAGAAGTTAAAAAGCCTCTGAAGACAGAGAAAACCAGAAGAGAACAAGGGATGGGAAACTGAGCCCTGAAAAGTAACATAGAATCATAGAATAGTTAGGGTTGGAAAGGAGCTTAAGATCATCCAGTTCCAACCCCCCCTGCCATGGGCAGGGACACCTCACACTAAACCATGGCACCCAAGGCTCTGTCCAACCTGGCCTTGAACACTGCCAGGGATGGAGCATTCACAACCTCCCTGGGCAACCCATTCCAGTGCCTCACCACCCTCACAGGAAAGAATTTCCTCCTTAGATCCAATCTAAACTTCCCCTGTTTCAGTTTTAACCCGTAAACTTGATTAAAAGAAGAGAGCATCAAAGAGGAGCTGTCAGGCTTCCTCCTCACCCAAGAAGGTCACTGTTACCTGAGCCGAGTCTGTTCTTATAGAGGATGCCACTGATGTTCCGGCACCTCACCGGGAGCTCGTTCTCGTACACAGATGGGTCCCAGTTGTACTTGGTTCCAGTTTTCTCTTGGACAGATGTCAGAGGGGTAGGAGAAGACTGAGGTCCTTTGGAAAAAGAAAGGGAAAAGAGGTGACGGCAACTGAAAAGCCCACTGGATGCACCGTTACCTGCACAGCCTGGCCACAGCAAGTGTCAAGTGATTAACTGATGTGAGTGACACCTCTCCACAGCCACGTGTTACATGGTGCACCACAAAAAATTCAGCTTCAGTGTTCTCAGTCATAGAATCCCAGCCTGGTTTGTGACGGAAGGGAGCTTAAAGCTCATCCAGCTCCAACCCCTGTCACTAGCAGGGACACCTGCCACTAGAGCAGCCTGCTCCAAGCCCCTGTGTCCAACCTGCCCTTGAACACTGCCAGGGATGGGGCAGCCACAGCTTCTCTGGGCACCCTGTGCCAGCGCCTCAGCACCCTCACAGGGAAGAGCTTCTGCCTAAGAGCTCAGCTCAGTCTCCCCTCGGGCAGGTTCAAGCCATTCCCCTTGGCCTGTCCCTACAGGCCCTTGGCCAAAGCCCCTCTCCAGCTTTCCGGCAGCCCCTTTAGGCACTGGAGCTGCTCTAAGGTCTCCCTTCAGAAGCCTTCTCTTCTCCAGGCTGAACCAGCCCAGCTCAAAATGACTGAACAGAAAGCAAACTGAGGAAACACTTTAACAGAGTGCTACAGGCTGAAATTGTAACCTGTAGCAGGGCTAAGCAGCTGCATGCCTCTTCCCCTTCCTAGAGGCCGAGCAGCAGCGCTGCAGGTCTGTTGTGCCATCTTGTGGCAAGAGGAAACAGCCGTCAGCAAGACCTGCTGGATCCAGACATCTGCTGTTGCGACACTTACAACACCAGCAAGTGGCCTGCCTGGAGATAAAACTGTATTCAAGGACCCTTTAAAAAGAACCCATGTGCAGCACTAGAAGAACTTTAAAACCCAAGTGCATTATCTATATTAAACTGATCCATCTGCCTTTGGGTTGGGAGGGCTGCAGAAAGGCTTGTGACAGCCCAGCAGCAGGGTGAGACTTCCCAAGAAGCTTATTTGCAAGGGGCAGCGCAACTAATAAGAGAATTAAATCTATTTCCGACATGGAAATACAAAACAAACCATAAAAGTAACTCTTTTGCTCCCAGATAATACAAGAAGTACCATGTAAAGAGGGGACAAATGATCCTTATAAAGCAACTTTACATGATATTATGCACATAGTGGTTTTTACTCCTAGAAACACAACGGAAGTGGAGAAAAGTGAGCCCTCCAGGAGAATGCCAGTTAAAACCAGCCTGCCTTATACCTGGTGTGAGAGGCGTGGAGGGCCCCTTCAGCCCCGTGGTGTCCACAATGCTGCCGTCCGTGTGCACCACGATGAGAGTGGCTTTTTCGGGGTTCAGGCTGTCCCCAATCTGCAGGGCTGTTCTCCCAGACTGCAGAGGAAATAAAGAGTTGAGATCGATGGAGTTAAAAGACCAATGTGCTTTAATATACCCCCCAAATCCTCTCAAAGGTACCCTAAACCACCAATCGCTGTGGCAGTTATTAGGTTAGTTTGGGAGGTTTCTGCCGACCAGATTCAAAGGTTACACGTTGCAGGCTATCAGATCCATTGCAGAATGAGTATATGAGGGTGGAGAGGTGAAAATCACTTTCATAAGTGATAAAGGAGAAAATTATGTCCCCCAGACAACGGTTTTGTGGCTTAAAGCCTGTATCCTGCGATGAAAACACGCCTTTGGCCTTCCCACAGCTCAGACCTTCATTTACACTACGAGAGGAGGTGGGACCTGGCTCATGCCACCGCAGGAAAGGGCAGGCTTACCAGCACGTGTCCTGAAATGGAAGCTGCGTTGGCCACGGACGTGGTGAAAACATTGTCTGCAGAGGCCCCGACGCTGGCGACGGTCACCGTGGTGACTTCTGAAACGCAAAGCAAGCACCGCATTAACATAGTGCTTGGGGCATGATTTATCATATATACCATAGGGCCTGGTATATATATCATATATATATCATAGGGCCTGATATAGATACCATATATATCATAGGGCCTGGTATATATATCATATATATATCATAGGGCCTGATATAGATACCATATATATCATAGGGCCTGGTATATATATCATATATATCATAGGGCCTGATATAGATATCATATATATCATAGGGCCTGATATAGATAGCATATATATCATAAGGCATCATATATATCATAGGGCCTGATATAGATAACATATATATCCTAAGGCCTGATATATATCATCTATATCATAGGGCCTGATATAGATAACATATATACCATAAGGCCTGATATATATCATATATATCATAGGGCCTGATATAGATAACATATATACCATAAGGCCTGATATATATCATATATATCATAGGGCCTGATATAGATAACATATATATCATAAGGCCTGATAATGAGCTAAACATCCATAGAGTCATGTTTCCTCCTTCCTTCCTATTCCAGGGCAGTCCTGGGGCTCGTGGCCCCTCGCAGGTGTTGTGAGCACACTCAGCTGGATTTTTATCAAGCTTTGGGTTGAACGTGCTTTAACCTCTCTGAGAGCATAAAAGCGGTTATCAGCATGGGACGAACTAAAGGGGAAACGAGCATTGCAGCCACACGGAAACCCCAACCCGAACTGTGATGCTGTTTATTAGAAGAGGGGTGTCTGGCAAGCACCAAGAGAACCGTACCAGTTTCTGGGGTGCCATTCCCTGCTCTTGGCCCAGTTAAGAACTGTCCAAACTTACACCCAGATGCTTCCGTTCCGTGCGGGGTGTTTGACTGCCGGGCTAAACCCGGCCGCTCAGCGCCACACAGGGCTCACAGGGAGGGCACGGCCCTGCAGCTCGCAGGGAGACCGCGCTCAGGCGGGAGGGGCTCCGCCATCTCCGGTGCCCCACAGCCCCGCACGGCTCGGGGCGCTTTGTGAACGGGGCAGGGGCTCCAACCGCGGGGGCACAGCGCACCCTGCTCGTGTGACTGCGGGTGCTGCGGTGCGGGAGCGAGGAGCGGGATCACTTCACGGAGGGTGCGGGCGCCTCGGGCACAGCCCGGCCCTGAGGTACGGGAGCGGGCGGGCGATGGGGCTGAGGGAGCTGCGCATGCGCGCTCCGCCCGCCCTGACCTGCGAAGGTGGCGGCGGCCTCGTCGGCGCTCGGCAGCGGCTCGGCTCCCATCTCGATGTGCTCGGGGTCCGCCGCCATCACCGTCACCGCCGTCACCTGCGCGGCCGCCTCTGACTGCGAGGCCGCCGCTTGCGGAGCCTGCGGAGGCTGCTCCTGCTGCCCGGGCCCTTCCGCAGCCGCCGCTACCGCGGCTGCCGCCGCCACAGCCGCCGCCTCCGCTAAGCCCAGCTGCTTCGCCGCCGAGTCGGCGTCCTCCATCCGAGGCGGGCGGCGGGAGCGGGCCCCGGGCGCTGCTGAGGGTCCCGCGGGCGGGAGGGGGCCGTGAGGTGGGGAGGGGGGGGGAGGCACGGGGGGACGGGACCGGTCCTCCGAGGTCACTCGAGCGCTTTTTAGCCGGGGGACGGGGGGGGCCGAACTCGGCCGAGCGCTTCCGAGCGTGTTCCGAGGGCGGAATCGAGCGCTTCCGACCCGCTGCCGAGGGTGCCCGAAGTGTTCCGAGGCCTCGTCCGAAGGCGAGCGATGGTTCCCGACGAGCGGGGCCCGCGTTTCCTGCCGGCTGGCCAATCCCAAGGCAGGACGCGGCCGAGTCCGTAGGCGCGCGGCCCGAAGCGATACCTTACAGTTCGGGTGGGGAACCCGAGCGCGCCCGAACAGGGCCGAGTCCCCGAGCGGTCCGGCCCAGAGGGTCGAAGAATCCCGAGCTCGTGCCGGTCTTTTCCGATCTTGCCCGAAGGCGGGTGAGGCGGGCGCGAGCGAAGCCGAGCTGTGCCGAGTCCTCTCCGAGCGCGCCCGAATTCGCCTTCGCCGGCCCGAACGGAGACGCCCGAACGGGCAGTGCCCGAATCCGCCCGAACCGGGCCGAGCGCTCCGATCGCACCCGAAGGCAGGAGGGGCGGGGATAGAGCAGGCAGCCCCGCCCCAGCGCGCGGACAAACGGTCGCGGCGCGGAGCCTGCCGGGACGCTGGAGGACCGGGAGGGGGGGCGGCGGGCCGGGATGCCCGCTGTGAGGCGAGGTGAGCGGCCCGGCGCCATGGTGACCAGCAGTGCTGTGTGCGCGTCCCGCCGGGGCGGAGGGTGACCGGCGGGGATGCTTCCCACCGGGACAGAGCTTGTCTCTTACCGCCCCAAGGCGGGGGGGGGGACACAGACTGAGGAGGGGGCCGAGGTCGAGCCAGGCCTGGGCGCCGAGCCCGGGCCGATTGCTTTATCGCGACAGCAGCGATATGTTGAGGTAAATCCGGGCAGCTGCTGCCAGGGACCCCTTCCACTGGAGCAGCTTGCTCCAAGCCCCGTGTCCAACTTGGCCTTGAGCACTGCCAGGGATGGGGCAGCCACAGCTTCTCTGGGCACCCTGTGCCAGCGCCTCAGCACCCTCCCAGGGAAGAGCTTCTGCCTCAGAGCTCATCTCAGTCTCCCCTCGGGCAGGTTCAAGCCATTCCCCTTGGCCTGTCCCTACAGGCCCTTGTCCCAAGCCCCTCTCCAGCTTTCCTGCAGCCCCTTTAGGCACTGGAGCTGCTCTGAGGTCTCCCCTCAGAACCACTCCGGTTATGACCCACTGGGATTCAAAGATCGTTCCACATGAAGAATTTCCACTTCTTTCAAAGAACTCAGAGGTGTCCCCAAAACATGCAAATCTCTGCCCTGGGTAGAAAAGAAAACTGGTTTTGAAACGTTTGGCTTCAACAATTACCGTTTGCCAAATGCTCCCTGGCAATTCAACCTCCCCCCCAGCAGCACCGCAGACTGCATTAATCCTCCCCGGGAGATGGCTCGGGGAGGAGCTGGGATTAGCAGCCTGTTGTTACACCTGAAATGATCCGGTTTAATTACTCTTTCAGGGCAGTAGCCCTTCCACGGGCGTGTTGTGAGGTTCCCATGTTCAACCCGGTTGAAGTGCCCCGGGTTGCCCGGGAGGAGGCAGCGCGCTCTAGGTAATAGTGGCTGCGCAAGACCTCCCTGGGAGAGGAGCAGGAAGGGCTCAGAGCCCTCTGGTGCAAAAGGATGCTGAGAAATGAGCTTCAAAAGAAACCTGGGGAGCTGCAAAGGGGGGATTCGCATGGGGTTGCCCTTCGGGTGGAATTCCCGCTGTGATTATAGCACTGCTGTGGGGGAGCGCAGTGAGGCTGTGCTGGTAAAGCCTCCTACAGAACACGTTCAGATCCAGATGCTCCCTGTGGGATAAGGACAGGTCTGCAGATGCAGTGGTGGTATTTGGTTTAGACTGAGCTGAGCTCTTAGGCAGAAGCTCTTCCCTGTGAGGGTGCTGAGGCGCTGGCACAGGGTGCCCAGAGAAGCTGTGGCTGCCCCATCCCTGGCAGTGCTCAAGGCCAGCTTGGACACAGGGGCTTGGAGCAAGCTGCTCCAGTGGAAGGGGTCCCTGCCTGTGGCAGGGGTTGGAGCTGGAGGAGCTTTCAGGTCCCTTCTAACCCAAACCACTCTGGGATTCTCTGATTTTCCTTCAAATTCCCATCCTACTTCCCAGTCTAAACTACAAACCAGAGATGTCTCTGTGAAGCGCATCATCTTGGTGTGACTTTTGCCTGCGGGTTTATACCAGGGTAGAAATACAAACCCATTTTAACCATTAGTCACCGCAGCAAATGTACTTATGAAACCTTTAACTCCCGGCCTGCAAAAAGAACTCAAGCATGTTGGCTAAGGAAGGGGACGGGTCTGTCCCTTTACAGAGAGGATACACGGACAGGAGGTGTTTCAGAGCATGGACAGTGTGAATCACCACCTTAAATTCTTCCCTGTTGTCCCTGTGTTTCCAAATTGAATCCCTTACATAGGTGCCTATCGTCAGTGGGATTATTTCAGGCATAAAGCTAATAGGGGAGGAGGACATTAGCCTTGAGGAGCTGTGGGATTGAGAGGGTATGTCCCACTGACTGGATGACAATGGGGTGTCTCAGGGCAGATGGATGCAGTGGCCTCTCATGGACAGTTCTGCTCCCTGTGAAACAGATCCCAGCTTTTCAATTCCTCCTCTGGCTGAAAGAGGCCAAGAATGTTAATGAGTTACTTAAGAGCTGCTTTAGTAGGTCAGTGCCATCACGTTGCAAGGGAATTCTACCTGTGCTTTTGCAGGAAGAAAGGAAGGGAAAATAAAACGTGTGGGTTCGCTTGCAGGAAATCCAGGTAGGACTCTGGGGGTGATCAGAATAGATTACGGTTTTACATAGAATCACTTTGCTTTTGAAGGGAACCAGTTTGGAAGGCTGTTATTTAGAGGAACTGGGAGCCTGATGTGCTACACAAACACTTTCTCACCATTGAAAACCAAATGGTACCTTCTGGTTCCCTTCCGTGTCTCCCTCCTTCCCGCATGGTTAGAGGGGATGAATGTCATCTGCTGCGCAAGGACAGGATAAACGAGTTCTAGGTAACACCTGGGTTCTTCTTCACGTTGGGAAAGAGATAGGTTCCTCTCAAAGTCACTTTCACAGCAGGGATTTCCCCCAAATTAGTTTAGAATGAAGGGATTTGAAAAGGTTCTTTTTGGACTCTGGGATCTGAGAGAATGATGAATCATCAGTGTGACCTGATAGAGTGTGTCTACATGTCTGACCTCTCAAAACAGTTGTTTGAGTGTTTCTGCAGCACTTTGGTCGCATCATTAGACTGATTTTCTTCTCTTTTCTTTTTCCCTTCTCCACGTAAAGGAAGATCTGAATCAATTGTATCCTTTTGGTACCTGTCACCCCTCACATGTGGGAACCTTCAGGAAGCCAGGTTGAAATGTGCTCCCATCTTACCCACCCAATAAACCTGCTGGATTTGTGTTACTCCTTGGGTTCTCCATCCACATGAAGCAAAACTGGTAAAACATTTCCCCTAAGACTGTTTTCTGCAGCATTAGCTGAGGTTGGCTTGAGACCCTGCCCCTTTATCCCAACTCCCAGTCTTGACAGAGGGTTGACAGCCCCGTTTTATGATCCCATAACTCTCATTTCCCTAGGAAGCAAGGCTGAAAATGGGATTTGTGGACTGCTGGACACAAACCCCATGCAGCAAAGCCCACAGGCAGCTGGCACAGACAACAGGAGATAGGAAAAGCAGCTTTCAGTAGCACTTCCTCTTCTCTCATGTTAATTCTCCCTTTACGCCTGCCAAGATCTAAGCATCTCCCGAGAGGAGACACCCTCAGCTTCAGAGATTTCCATGCATAGAACCCATCTAGTAATTTTTCTGCTCCACCTTCCTTCAACTGGAAAAACACAAAAACCTGGTTCTGGTGTAATGACAGGAGCTGCTCTGGGAACTGGGATACAGCCACTGCAGGTGGGTGGCTGCTCCATGCAGGAATGGGCTAGGCAGGGCCTCCAAAAGGTGCCTGGGATGAAGTCCCTACCTGGAGATACTCCAAGGATTTGAGAAGGGGAGAGGAGGGGATATTTTGAGTATAGAAAGATGTGGACACAATGAAATCTGAACAGATAACTTCCTGTATAAATTAAGTTGTATTATTTACGGCTAAGGAAGGTGTTTGTGATCAAAAATACACGTAAGTGGATTCTTGGAGCCACATTCCAACTTCTCCATGTGGAGGTGAGCTCCAGGATGTCCTACACTGTCTCCTATATGGCATTAGGAACACGCTGCTGTGCCTTAAGAACAAAAGATTCCTTCGGTACATATGGGCCTGCCATACAGGGGCTGTGTCTGTCAGTGGGCTCCTGAAGCCATCCAAGATTGTGGTGTCTCCAGTAAACCAGGGTTAACACTGGACAGGGCTCATTCCAGCCTGTGCAGGAGCTTGTGGCTAAGAAAGGGCTCATCTCTGCTGGATCCAGAGGGATCTCAGGCAGCTGAATTAGGCAGGATGGGTACCTTTAGGTGGCTGCCACCTTGGGATGAGAGAATCAATCCTGAGCCTGCTACTAATGTCTCCCTGTCTGTAAGACAGCCCCTGTCCTTCTGGGCCATTTTGGGAATGAAGTCTTGTGGAGCTCTCAGGTGCTTTGGCAGTGGATCCATACAGCCAAATAACTAAAGCTAATGCTCTTACACGATCCAACAGATAGCTTTGTCAGCGGCGAATTAAGGAAGTCTGTGCCTGATGGATCTGCATCTCAGAGTTGAGCTCGTGGCCTTTCTCAGAGGTGTAATGAAGAGCCCAGCTTTCAGACTTCCCATCCTGTGGGCATGGGATGGGAAGTGATGGGGCCTGGCTGCTTCACAGAGCCACCTATTTGCAAGAACTCTGGCATCTGGTGTGTTGGGAGCCTGCCAACCCCCTGTCAACCGCTTCAAGCTGACTGAGAGGGAGAGAAGTTGTTG